ACTCCATGGGGAGTCTGCTTCTCCCTCTGACCTTCTCCTCGCACATGCCCTCTCTCACTGTTTCTCTCTCAAAAAAAAAAAAAAAAAAAAAAAAATTAAAAACAAAACAAAGCAAAAAAACTTGTTAGTGAAGCCCATCAGGAATATTCACTTTGAGAGAATATAGAAATGTTTAAGGGTTGATAGGATTAAGGTGGAAGCTTAGATGGAAATAGGAATGTTTAAATAGGCTCTATGTGAAGAAATTGTGTCTCCTTTACCTGAAAGTATTATGAGAATGGATATTATGTCTGACTGGGGAACATCTCCCTTACTTCATTTTATAAAACCAAAACCTGTTGATAGGTCACAGTTAGGAATGGAAGGGTTGAAGGATTAAGGCAAAAGTCTGGAGGAAAGCTAGTATGTTTGAAGCGGCTGCATCTCTTACCTGAATGTCTTATGGCCATGGATACTGTGTGTGACTGGCGAATTAACTGTTTCTATAAAACAGAAGGCATGTAAATCTGTCCTATTAATTCAAAATGCTAAATGGGGATGGATGAGATTGCCCAAGTCCACAGTGAGATGAGAAGTGGCAGTGCTGGGTGGGGACAGAGTCTGTGTGGTAGCTCTATGTGGAGCATAAACTGGGGTTTATGACAAAAGCCTGAAATTGCTTCCCAGCAGCTGTTAGGACTATGGAATGGAGAATTCCATTTGAAGGGCAATTAGCAGCCTGCTATTGGACATTAACTGAAACTGCCCCTATGACTGCAGTGCAAAAACAGTCTTAACATCTGAAATACACATACTGTCTTAGGTGATGTCACAGAAATGCTCTAAGACTTTTGGGAGAGCAATGCCCAGGAGAGTTCCATAATAAGACAGAAATGGTTTATACAGGATTATGCTACCTGAGGCATGCAAGCAGGAGGTACTCACAAGCAGAGAGTCTTTTCCCCTAGGGACCGACTTCGGAACAATGTGAAGCTATATCATTACTTAGATGGTGCATGATAAACAGCTGTGACTGAACAACAAAGAGCTGCTTGGTTTATGGGTGGCAGTTCCAAGGTAAATGAAAAATGTCCTGTTTGGAAGACCACCACTCCGACTGAAGATGTAAAAACAAATCAACTCAGTGGATGAATTCCATGCTGTTTTCCTAGCAGTGATGGAGGAATGGAACAATGACAAAAGCCTCTATCTACATTTTGGGTTTTACCTGAGTCATGGGTGATGGCCAGTGGCCTGGCCATAGGGATAGGCAGAAGGAAAACTGGTCTTTTAAAGGGATGTCCATTGAAAGCATGACCATACAGAAATCAGTATAGAAATTTGAGGGGTTCATTAAAGTAGGATATGTTGATGCCCATCAGAAGAATCCCCTCCCAGGCTTGGAAGGTCATTAGAACCAAGTGGATATCACACTGTACTTATTTGAAGTGACTACCTGGGTTCATGAAAGGAGGAGACATTTGGGGACCACGGCAATACAGAGGGCTGAATCTGGACATATTCCCTTTGCACTCAAAATGCCAACAAGAGAGACAGAGGCAGCCTATGTCTATGGGAAAGAGTCCTCAGAGGGAAGGCCCCTCCCACTAGCAAGTAAATTATACTGAACCAATGCCAGTAACCAGGGTAGAAGGGCTACAAATGGGTTTTATTAATTTTTTTTTAAAGATTTTGTTTATTTATTTGTCAGAGAGAGAGAGAGAGAGCAAGCACAGGCAGACAGAGTGGCAGGCAGAGGCAGAAGCAGGCTCCCCGCCGAGCAAGGAGCCCGATGCGGGACTCGATCCCAGGACGCCGGGATCATGACCTGAGCCGAAGGCAGCTGCTTAACCAACTGAGCCACCCAGGCGTCCCACAAATGGGTTTTAGACATTGATTCTGGACTGTGCATTGCTTACCTGGTGGTAGATGCAAATGGTCAGAGTATTAACAAAAAATGGATTGGAAGATACTGTACCAATTTGGACCACCAAATCACATTTCTTTAGGACAAGAAATACACTTTACAGCCTATAATATTAAATTACAGGCAGAGAGATATTGTCCTCAGAAGAATAGTTTCATAGAGAATTGGAATAGGCAACCGAAATGTTTAAAACAGGGGAACTTGTAGGCATGAAGGGCTTGTGTATATGTCTTTAAGAATGTGTGCTCACACTCAACATGAGCAGGGCTAAGGGAGTATCCTCACTGATGGGTTCCTGTTTTTCTGGTGGATCTGGGGAAGAGGGTTGGGGGAGGGCACTAATGTGACTATGCAATTTCTTTCCATGGGAGGAATATATTGGTATGACTATAATTCTTCCCAAGGGGAGAGGACACTGGTTTGATGACCATACTTTTTTCTTTCACTCAACTTTTTTTTCTTCATCACCTCAACTTTCTCTTTCCTACTTGATGGAGTAGTCATGGGATAGGGCTGCAACAAGTGCTCGAAACAGAATGATTCTGAGGCAAGAAACTACAGTTTTAAATCTTAATGTTGGAATAGCTAAAGGCCTGATAGCTCAGGTTATGCCTTCACTCCATTTACCCAAACTGAAGGTAACAGTGAAACCAGCTCTGCTGCTAGTGGTATAAAGAGTCAGCTGGTTTTGTACCTGAGTACCTCTACCCTGTACAAGAATGGATTGAGGGGGAGGCACTTGCTAGACTAGTATTGCTGCCTGCTATCTAGACCAGCACAGCCATTAAACCTAAAGTTCCTTCCAAACATGGAAAGGTTCAGGTAGAAATGAAGACAGAATCATAGCTGAGGGTAAAGAAATGAATCAAAGGGTTACGTAATGAAGGAAATCCAGTATTACATTAAAATCTCAAGAGAGGCTCAGGGCAAGAGGATAATATATATTGTCTCTCAGTTCAATTATACCAGATGCTGAAAAGGGGAAGCCATATATTGCGGAGACCAGTCCTGTTTTTGGAACCTGACAAAATCAAATGGAAGCTGGCAAATCTAAGTGGCCTCACCCTGGGAGACATTTTCATATGATACGATGATGGGCTGGAATAATTATTAATGACTGAATATGACTGTAGTAATGTGTCAGTTCCTTGACTTTATTTATTTTTAAAAGATTTTATCTATCTATCTATCTATCTATCTATCTACTCTATCCATTCATCTATCTATTCATTTATTTAAAGCCCACGAACAGGGGGACGGGCAGAGGAAGAGAGAGAGAGAGAATCTCAAGCAGACTCTGCACTGAGCATAGAGCCAGACACAGGGCTTGACAGGGGCTCAATCCCATGACTTTGAGATCATGATCCTGATACTGTGACCTGATAACCCACTAAGCCACCCAGGCACCCTACCAGTACCTTGACTTTTACAATCCTTTTGCTGTAAGAGATTCATGGTCAAAGACCAGTGGGTAGCTTATGGTAAAATACAAAAATATATTTGGTCTTTGTCCTAGGTTCCTGGCACAGGAGTTCCCCAAACCCTTGGAATTTCCTGAGTGATAGGAGCATCTTTTGTTATTCATAACAATCTCCTTTTGATTGCGTCTGAGTTTATGCTAATGAGATGACTTTGGGTAAGGACCTTAGATAACTTTAGGATAGGATGGTCACCAGAAAGACAAAGCGATGGGGTGGGATGGGACTGAAGACCGAGCTCTATAAAAATTCCTGAACAGGGACACCTGGGTGGCTCAGTTGGTTGGGCAGCTGCCTTCGGCTCAGGTAGTGATCCCGGCGTCCTGGGATCGGGTCCCGCATCAGGCTCCTTGCTCATCGGGGAGCCTGCTTCTCCCTCTGCCTCTGCCTGCCATTCTGTCTGCATGTGCTTGCTCTCTCTCCCTCTCTCTCTCTGACAAATAAATAAATAAAATCTTAAAAAAAAAAAAAATTCCTGAACAATAAGTTTCAGAGAGTTTCTGGGTTGGTGAACACATCAAGATGATGGGAGGGCGGTGTGCCCAGAGAGGGTATGGAAGCTCCATCCCCTCCTACTCCATACCTTGCCCTATGTATCTCTTCCATCTGAGTTTGTAATAAACTAATAATGGTAAGTAAAGTGCTTTCCTAGATTCTAGCACCTTATTAAAATTGAGGGTAGTAGTTGTGAAAAACCCTGCATATGTAACCAGGCTGGACAGAAGTGCAGGTAATGTGGATACCTGGTAGTTTCAACTGGTGTCTAAAGTGAGGGCAGTCTTGTGGGACTGAGCCCTTAAACTGTGGGTTCCGTGCTAACTCCAGGAGTTAGTAAGAGAATTGAATTGGATTGTTGGATGCCTAGTTACTGTATGAAGAATTGGAGAACTGGTTGTTGGTGTTGGGATATACCCCAAACTTTCCCTAATGAACATTCCTTATTTTTAAAATGGAAAAGAGGGGTGCCTGGGTGGCTCGGCGGGTTGGGCCGCTGCCTTCGGCTCAGGTCATGATCTCAGGGTTCTGGGATCGAGCCCCGCATCAGGCTCTCTGCTTGGCAGGGAGCCTGCTTCCTCCTCTCTCTCTGCCTGCCTCTCTGCCTGCTTGTTATCTCTGTCTGTCAAATAAATAAGCAAAATCTTTAAAAAAAAAAAAAAAAATGGAAAAGAGTCAAATACACATTTTAAAAATGAAGTTGGTATACTTGAACTCTGAATAAGCACCTCAAATTCTCAAAGTTTGCTGATATCCTTTGGCAAATAATTAAATATTAAAAAATATTTTAGAAATTAATATGAGAGAGAGACAGAGTGTGTGAGAAAGCACAAGCAGGGGGAACGGCAGAGGGAGTGGGAGAAGCAGACTCCCCGTTGAGCAGGGATCCCGATGCAGGGCTCCATCCCAGGACCCTGATATCATGACCTGAGCCAAAGGCAGACACTTAACCAGCTGAGCCACCCAGGAGCCCCTAAATACTAAGTTTATAAAATGAAGAAAACTTAATTACTCCCAACTCAATCCATAAATCCAAGTTTTCCTTGGGAGATCCTGATTTCTTCTATATATTAAGCCTCAACCATATCTATAACTATTTTTAGTCTGTAACAATGACTCACCTCCTAGATCTTCATCTTCATTTGTTGGGCCTTCTGCACTGTCCATATTTTCTGTTTCATGTGGTTTGGTTAAATCGTAGTCATTCAAAATCACTGGGCCTTCTAGAAGATAAAAAGAATTTTAACTGTGTAGGCCAACTTTAAAGGATTTTTACAATATAAAATTTTTTATATATAAAAATGTAATATTTTTATTAAGTAGAATCCCATTTTAGCATAATCTCTTAATGACCCAGTATCCCTTTCATATATACCCCAAGTGGAATATATGTGAAAACTCTTAAGGTTCAGAAATATGCCCAGGGTGCACCCAAGTTAAAATGCATTCACGTTCTTTCCTGGCAGAAATTCTCTCTCTTTTGGTATGTCTCACAATATTCAGTAGGACGCTATTGCTATTTATGAACAAGAAGCATTTATGCAGTGTTGAGAAATACTGAGCTCAACAACACTGGCATAACCCAATTTGGGAAACATGTTTTCCTGAGAGAAAACCCATAAGCAACAGTATATCAAATCTTATTTTCCTTTTCTGTTCACATTATAAATGTGATTCTGAGGAAGATGTATTGACCCTCGTGTTCCTTTATTTCCTTGAACATTTACTAAATGCAGACAAGGCTACAGATATGAGTAAGTCATAATTCCTGTCCTTAAGGAGCTTATAATTTGCAGATGTAGATAAGACAAGATCATAACTATAATGCAAGACTCAGACAAGAGATAATACAGGTCTATAATGCAGACTCAGACAAAGGAGTAAGGGAAATATAACGTATTACAGGAGTTCATAAGTGAAAGGGAACAGACATAATAAAAGCATGCTTAAACAAATAGCAAAGATATTAAAAATCAAGTTTAATAGAAATACATTTAAATATATTTATATATTATATAAATACTGATAATATTAGATGTTAGAAAAAAAGGAATATGTAGCTGGTATTATTTCATATTCAAGCATGGTAGCTTAAAAAGATGTTAACAAAAGAAATAAACTAAAAACTCATTCACTTTCTATCAAACTCCTAATGTCCTTCCTAATGTTCAATGAAATATTTATTGAGTAACAATTACATACAACAAATAGTCAAAGATACTGAATCCTATGGCTTTTAAAGCTAAGCGAAGTAGGAGAAGTGACTAGAAACTCTTGGGTGCATTCCTTTCAGATGCACCCATGACTGAACACATGGAGCTGGACTTTTGCTGGAATCCAGTAGTAAAATGGAAACATATTTCATAAAATCCATGATGAAGAAGTGTTAAAAATATGGTTATCATGGACTCATGTTTTTATTTATAAACACATTAAATTGCTCATTTCTGCATGTTGTAATATATACTCTGTGAACTCTAAAACACTGTTCTAAATAGTAGCTCACTTTTCTCAAGCTCAAAATGACTAATATAAAGTGCACACCTGAACAACTAACATGAGGTACAGGTTCAATTAAAATATAAGGTTATAATTGACAATATAATTGACAAAAAGATACTTGAGTGATAAGTTTTGTAATATAGCATTAATTTTTATCCAAAGTGAATTAATCAATCCAGAGAACATAGAAGTTATTTTTAGGAAAAGATTTTAAATGTTTATAGTTTATTCTGGAACAGGAGTCAGCAAACTATGGCCTGAGACCCAAATCTAGCCATAACTTGTTTTTGTATGGGCCCAGGAGGTAGGAATGGTTTTTATATTTTACATTTTTAAACATTTATTTAAAAAGTAATATGATAATTGACTCTCTTCTTGACTTATTTCACTCAGCATAATCTCCTCCAGTTATCACATGGTTTCACTTACTTGTGGAGCATAAGGAATAACATGGAGGACATTAGGAGAAAGAAAGGAAAAGTGAATTGGGGGAAATCAGAGGGGGAGATGAACCATGAAATACTGTGGACTCTGAGAAACAAACTGAGGGTTTTGGAGGGAAGGGGTATGGGGGTTAGGTGAGCCTGGCAGTGGGTATTAAGGAGGGCAAGTATTGCATGGAGCACTGGGGATGGTACATAAACAATGAATCTTGGAACACTGAAAAAATAAAATAAAATTTAAAAAAATAAATAAAAAGAAATATGAAACAGAGACTATATATGGCCCACACAAAGTCTAAAAATGTACTAACTTTCCCTTTACACAAAAAGGTTTGCTGACCTCTATCTATGGTGAAAAGCACAAGTAGATAAAATAGAAGCTACTACACCATTCAACAAAAACTGTCTTTATTTAAACTAGTCCATTAAAAAAATTTTTTTAGGGGTGCCTGGGTGGCTCAGTGGGTTAAGCCGCTGCCTTCGGCTCAGGTCATGATCTCAGAGTCCTGGAATCGAGCCCCGCATCGGGCTCTCTGCTCGGCAGGGAGCCTGCTTCCTCCTCTCTCTCTGCCTGCCTCTCTGCCTGCTTGTGATCTCTCTCTGTCAAATAAATAAAAAAAAAAAAATAAAATCTTAAATAAAAAAAAAATTTTTTTTAAGGAAAAAAAACAACAGTGATCAACATTAAGTAGGGTGTGATTTGGCCCAATAATGCCAAAGAATTTATGTAATCTAAATGGATGAGTTATTTTTGTGTCAGAAAGAGAAAACCAAATTTTTTCCAACATACTTCCATAGCATTTTTACTGTGATCAGAATATTCTTCTACCTTTGGTAATTTCAGTAAAGATATATTTCTAGAAAGACCTGATGTTACCTGTGGACACAGACTGTTCCTGAGTGCTTTTCAGTTCCACATTTGTTTTTGTATCTGAAAAGAAAAAGGATTATAAATATTAGCTACTTAGAGTAAATTTTTTTCAGATTTGGAGCATTTAATAAGGATACCATTTTGGAAGCTTTAGCAGATTTCCTCTTCAGAACAGGACTGTTCTTTCCTCCCTCTATCCTCCCTAAAAAGTACCTCAAGGAGAATAAAAGGAATTATCTATACAGTAATTGTATTTTAAAGAAACAAAGAGAAAAAAATTATTACTTTGTACTTAACATTTCTAGTACTTTTCCATTTTTTCCTGAAGACATGAGTTCCCATCTGATATCATGTTTCTTTGGTCAAAAGAGCTTCTATTAGCATTTCTAGTCATGGAACTATGTGAGTGACAATTTTTCTTGGTTTTCATTTATTTGTAAATATCTTTATTTTGCCTTCAATTTTAAAGGTTTTTATTTATTTATTTGAGACAGTGAGAAAGAGAGACAGCAAGGGAGGAGTGGGGGGAGGGACAAAGACGGAGGAAGAGGGACAAGCAGACTCCACACTGAGTGTGGGGTCCGACGTGGGACTTGATCTCGGGACTGTGAGATCATGACCTGAGCAAATATGAAGAGGTGGATGCTCAACAGACTGAGCCACCCAGGCATTGCCCCATCCCTTTTTAAAGATTTTTATTTAATTTCATTTTTAATTTTAAAGGATATTTTTACTTGATACAGAATTCTGGGTTGACAATTTTCTTCTAGCACTTTAAAGATGGCATTCTACTACTTCCTTATCTTGAGTATGGGTCCCATTTTCCCACTTCTTCCTATGACTTAATGATTTTGGATTGTACCCTGGACATTATAAATGAAATGTTACAGAATTTCTGGATTCTGTTAAATTCCTCTGGAGAGTATAGGAGTTTTTCTTTGTTTAGTTTACTTTTTAAAGCATGCAGATAACTTGCCTAGACTCAAACTCGAATTCTGTCTGTAGTGAGCAGCAACTAGAGTAATCAAATATTCTAGCATGCCTGGAATTGAGGATTTTTCTAGATCAGAGAACTTTCATAGTCCCAGGGAAATTGGCACAAGCTGGTATCTTGCAGAGGCATAAATCTCTGTTCAATATTTTAGCCTCAGATGGGCTGCTCAGAGTGTGACCCCATATATGTGTGGTTCAGTGATCAGCTAGAGATCTGGAGCAGCCAGAGAATTTACAGATAAAAAAGCCATCTGCCTCTTTCATACCAAGATTTCCCTCCTTACTTCCCAGATTGCTATAGTTGCTATGGCTTCTTAAGCTAGTGTAACTGCAGATTATCTACCCAAGTTTTGGTCACCCTGAGGCTAAAACTGGTGCCTACCCTTGGGTTAAAGCAAACAAACATAAAAACAGGTTGGTTCTGACATTTTCCAATGCCTTCAGGTAATAGATTTTTTCATATTTTGTCCACAATCTATCATTGTTATCTGTTGGAAGGCTGAGTCAATAGGAGGTACTCCTCCATTGCTGGAAAATCTTCTTTGTTCTTTAGTTTAATGATGATCATATACCCAAAACTGTTCAGGACAGTATTAATTTCAAATATTCAATACTGTTGTCTGGTCATATTTTAATTTTTGTTTTGAAAAATATAGTCACTGTATTTATATTCTATTTTAATTTTAAATTTTTAATAGATTATCCATTAGATGATAGCAGCAAAGCATAAAGGCAGGGAAAATACACATATTTTTAAAATAAGCAAAGAAGCAGCCTGGTATGGGGTGTCAAAACCTAAGATGGGAGAGAGCAATATCTATGCAAGGAAGGGACAGAGCCCAAGGCAGGCTGCTGGAGACCAACTACCCTGAAGAGTATGACATATGGAATGGGCAGTCTGAATGAGGTAAGGACGGATTCTATACGGAAAGCAGACAAATGGGAAACCAGAGCCTGAGTAGGCTAAAGAGGGCATTCAGGCAGGAGAATTGCCTGACCTGGAATGCTGGAGTCAAAGAAGGATAAAGAAGGTATCCAAGATAAGGGACAGCTTAGCATGAGTCAGAGCCTAAGCATGATACATAGGATATCTATGCAGAGAGGTGGTCTGGTGTGGGTTTTAAGAGTCCAAGTGGGTTAAGCAATGCACCTACATGGGGACAGTGGGCAGAGCTTCCATGCATAGGGGTGCTCCAGTGTAAAATACCAGAACTTGAGTGGAATAAAGAGGGCATTTACATATTAGGGACAGCCTTGCATGGAGGTGTCATAGCCTGAGCAGTTGAAAAGAATGTCCAAATAGCACCATAGCTATTGTACAGGATGTCAGAACCCAAATAAGGTAAGAAAAGCATCCATGCTAAGGAAGGGATGGTAGAGGCAATGGATGATTGATTGTATAAAGAGGCTTGATCAAATAAGTAAATATAGCAAGGATAAGAGCCAGATTTTTCTCTGTCAGAGAAGGGAGTTACAAATACAAAAAACCCTGTGGTACTGGATTGGAAATGAAGGTACTGGTGTGAACATGTGACTTCTACTCTATATAACAGATATAAAATACAGATGTAAATGTGTGTATATGTATATGTATATATATATAGTCCCTAGCCCTGTCCACTGAGAGTACCTGGGAGCAATAACACCACAACAACTTCTGGCATCCAGATATTAACTTCTAAATATCATTCTCCGCTTAAAGGAACGAGGCTCCTTGGAGAAATGGCTTGAAGAAATGGCAGGGAAAAGTATAAGATGGGTCTGGAACATTTTGTTGTGTCGCAAAGCAAGGAAATGCTTCCAGAATGAAGAGAATATGTTAAAGGATACAGAAATCATCTTGAAGGGGTTTCCATTGGGCAAATCTGAGACAGGGGAAGTATCCAAATAATAATGATAGTACTGGATTATAACTTACTGAAAAAAACAAATTCATGAGTCCATATTGACATTAATAAGTAAGTAAACTGAAAGTCAGATGGTGAATGGAATATTTATATAGTTTCAAGGTGCTTCTCCCAAATTACTTATTATTACAAAGATGAAAAGAGCACTACTGTAACTAAACAAAGTGATCATCATCAGTAATGGGACAAATGAAAGTTATGTGCCATCTGATAACAAAAGGCAGCATCACTTCTGTGATATTTCTGCCAAACACATATAAGATGAATCTAACCATGAGAAAATGAACTCTAACTGAGGAATATTTGACACGATAACTAGCTTAGTAATACCCAAAATTGTCAAAGTCATGAAAGATTGAGGAACCAAGAAATTGTTCCAGACTGAAGGAGAGTGAAGAGACTTGACAACTAAATGCAATGTGTGATTCTGAGCTGACTCCTCCTGCAGTAAATTAACACTGTTGAAACAAATGGAGAAATCTGAATGGGGTCTGAGGATTAAATGGTAGTAATGTATCAGTGTTTATTTCCGGATTTGGACGTTGTTTTATGTTATGTAGAAGTAGTACACTTTAGTACATTTCAGTTTTCAAGTGTGATAGGGCATCATATCAGCAACTTAGCCTCAAAATTCTTGAAAAAATAGTTTTTGTACTGCACTGCAATTTTTCTGTAAGTTTGATAGCGTTTAAAAAAAGTAAAAAAAAAAGGGGCGCCTGGGTGGCTCAGTGGGTTAAAGCCTCTGCTTTCGGCTCAGGTCATGATCCCAGGGTCCTGGGATCGAGCCCCGCATCGAGCCCCGCATCGAGCCCCGCATCGAGCCCCGCATCGGGCTCTCTGCTCAGCAGGGAGCCTGCTTCTTCC